ACAAGTTTAGCCGTCGCCACGTCTGTTAATTGCCTAATTCTTCTAATTGCATATGCAGCAGAACTGAGTCTACTGGCCAATTTTGAAATATGGGGCCCCCATTGTAATTTCGAGTCCACTGTTATACCTAAAAAAACTGTATCATTAACAAAATTTACTATTTCGTCATTAAGCAATAACTGTGTATTTATTAGTCTTACATTAGGAAGTGTAAATTTTATACACTTTGTTTTGCTGGAATTTAATAATAGGTTATTACATGTAAACCAATTTAATATTGCAGACATAGCACAATTTACATCGTCTAATTGATTACTTTGACGTCCAATTTTAAATACTAACGAAGTATCATCCGCAAACAGCACTATATCTGCAATTTTCTCTACCATAAAGGGAAGGTCATTTATGTAGATTAAAAAGAGAAAGGGGCCTAAGATTGACCCTTGTGGAACGCCCATCTTAATATTAGCTCCCTTAGATTTTACACCGTCAATATCTACAGTTTGAACCCTATCCTCTAAATAAGTTCTCATTAATTTTAGATCATTATCTCTTATACCATAATGTTCGAGCTTGTACAAAAGCGTTTTATGATCCACACAATCAAATGCCTTTGATAGGTCACAAAAAACTCCGAGTGCATCCTGTGACCTCTTCCAAGATTCGAAAATATGTGTCATTAGCGCAACACCTGCGTCAGTGGTAGACTTGCCGGCGGTGAAACCATATTGCTGACTGTGAAGCAGTCCGTTAACCCTGAAGTGATGTAACATTTGATTTAACATTATCTTTTCAAACACCTTACTTAGAACTGGCAAAATAGATATAGGTCTATAGTTCCCTGGCTCAAATTTATCTCCTGATTTAAATAGTGGGATTAATTTGCTAAATTTCATTAAATGTGGAAAAACGCCATTATCAATACATTTATTAAAAATTGTGGCTAGATATGGAGCAACAATATCTATGAAAGAACTAACTACTTTTACAGACATGCCCCAAAGGTCTTCCGTATTTTTTAAATTTAGCTGTTTGAATATTTTTATGATATGAAAGGGGCTAACATGTGAAAATTTAAATCTTAAAGAACAACAACCGATATTAGTCTCTAGTAATTTTTTTGCTCGAGATTGAGATGAGTCCAGAGAAGATGTAATATCAATCGGAATATTAGCAAAAAAATCTTCAAAAATATTAACTACATCTTTTGTTGTTGTTATTAATTTATTATCATAATTTAATGTAAATTGATTACAGGCTATTTTAGATCTTCCAGTTTCTTTATTTATAATGCTCCAGATGGTTTTAATTTTGTCAGAAGACTGCTTAATTTGTTTATTAAAATAATTAGACTTAGCCATAATACAAACTTTTTTAAAAATTTTAGAATAATTTTTTACATAAGTGGTGAATTTGTCATCAAATCGATATTTTTTTTGATCGTATAAATCAAACAAAATATTTCTACTTTTAAGTATTCCTACTGTTGCCCATTCCGTGAATTTAGATTTAACATGAACTTCTTTTTTCTTGAAAAATTGATCATATTCTCCGGATAAAATATTAATTAGCTTGGTGTAAAGATAATCAGGATTATTACTAGATTGTAACAGCAAATCCAATTTATTTTTAATCGCGCTTTTGTATTTATTAATATTGTAAACATTTATTTGTCTTTTTGATTTTTTATTATTGTTGACTTTATTGATTTGACTGCTAAACTTAACAACTTGACCACAGTGATCTGAAGGAAGTTTATTTATTATGAATTTTTCTGTATACTCGCAGTTACAAAAAAACATTGTCAAGACAAGTAGCAGACGTGGCAGTTACACGAGTGGGTTCATGAAAGACATGACATAAATCAAACGACTGAAATAAACTAATAATTTTTGTACATGTGGGTGTATTACAAAGAATATCAACGTTAAAATCTCCACATACAATAATTTTTTTAATACTATTAAATACTTTTTTTAAAATATCCTCCATCACCCCTTCAAAAACATTGTAATCACTATTAGGAGGCCTGTACACACATATAAGGATATAATTTTCTAGTTCTATACAAGATAATTCTATACAACACTCAATAGAAAGTCTAACAATGTCAGCACGTTCCTTTACTTTAATATTATTTCTTGCAATTATCATAGACCCGCCTCTGTTAACTGACTTTCTATTGAAGCAGCTGACAACGTTATAATTATTTAAATTGAACATCATATTGCTTTCTTTAAGCCAATGTTCTGTGAAACAGACAATATCAATATTATACTTTTCTAAAAATAATTGTATAATTAACTCGCTGCCGGGAAAACTTTGTATGTTCTGATGAACAATTATTAATTCTGATTGCTTTCCCTTTGTCTTTGTGAGCAGTTTAAATCTGCAGTCATAGTACTTATGTCACAAATATTAATAGAATTATCTGTTATGTCAGCATTTTTATGTTTAAGTTTACCATGTAAACTGTTCATGTAGTCAATATTATAAGCCACTAAAGTGGCTATTTTATTTTTAGATGATTTAGAAAGATACATTGTATCTTTTGTCAAATAAAAATCACTAATAAAACTATTAGTATCAAAAAATGTCAAAATGTCACTATGACGACATGTCAATGTATGTAATAAGTTATTTAGGTAATGTACCTTACTGTTAATTTTTTTATGAAGATGTCTATTTGTGTAAGGAAAAGCGCACAATACAATCTTATACACATTTAATTGTAATAAATATTCAATTCCTTTAATTACATCCTGCCTATTTAATTGAATACTATTACCAAAAAATAACACAATTGTGGTCATATTGTTCATTTTCGTAGACTTAATTTTATTTATTATTTGTGTAAATGATGCTTCTGGCATGCAGTAGTTTAATAAATCACCCTTAAGATGATACTTCAATATAGACCCAAAGTTACAGCCTATTCTGTCAGAGAACACCATTGTGCTACTCTTAGGGTTACAGTCACTGGCACAAACACCCTGAACTTCATTTTCCAGCACAGTTATTAAATGTTACTATATTAATCATGTTATCCTTTTAAATTTATTTCAATTTATTAATCTTCTATTTTTTTTTTATACTAAAATTATTATAAAATAGATGTCACTGATGATCATTTTTTGGTTGTATGTAATAGACATCAACGCGGTATAGTTAAAAAATCAGTAGTAAATGATATTTTTTTATACCACTGAGATGGCAACAAGCATACGGCCCACCTGATGGTAAGCGATTACCGTAGCCTATGAACGCCTGCAATACCAGAGGTATTACGCGCGCGTTGCCGACCCTGAAGAAACCTTTTGAAGAACCCTATGCTGTAGTCTCTTGGAGAAATCTCGGCTGGGAGCTCATTCCATAATCTGAGCATTTGTGGGAGAAAACATATCCGAAACCACGTTGTACGCGACCATTTAGGCTGTAAGGTATGAGGGTGAACTTCCTGTTGATGGCGAGCCGTACGATGATAGAAAGTGGCCATGATACCCCTCATGCGTTGCCATTCCTAAAGACTTTGTTATTCCTCTGTACCCTGTAAATTCACGCCATATCCCACCTTTCAAACTGAAACTCAGCCATGCAAACACAACTGCTTCACGGTTGAAACAGAAATGGGACAGAGGTACCCAAGCAATTGAGTTTTGTACAAAGTCTCCCTGTGATGAAATGTTGTTTTACTTGTATATATTTAGATATCTATATAGATTTTGATGGGGAAAAAACATTAATCACTCTCTACTCGGTCCAAGAGATATTTCTCTTTCATAAAATGAAATAAGTAATAATATATTTTTTTTAATGTAACTTGTGGTCAAGGACTCCTAGACACCAGATTGGTTGAAAGACAGTTTAGTGGCCGTGTGGTCCCGGCATAAAATAGGCTACCCCTTCCTTTTCCGTATGTATTGTAAGAGACGACTAAGGAAGGGCGAGGGATGGACAGCAGCGCCCTTCTCGTCCCCTAAAATTTAAATCGCAATCGCCAACCCGCCTGCCAAGCGTGGCAATTACTAACAAAACTCTCCTTATGGGAAGGCTTGTGTTCAGCAGTGGACAGTTAAAGGCTAATAGGATTATGATGATAAAGACAGTTGAGAGACATTCTGTTAGAATTATGAACTATTCCCAACTATAAGACGAAACTTCTAGTCTTAACGAAACTAAACGAAAGTCTAAGAGAGCATTACTTATCACTATGCTGACGTATTATGTATATGTGTATGTATATTTATATATGTTTATATGTGTATATATATATGCATGTGTATATATGTGTACATGTATGTTTGTGTAAGTATATGTGTATGTTTACAGGGTATTTTATGTAATTTATAATGTGTAGTTTGTAATGTGTATTCTTTGTGTATACATATCTTATGTGTTTATACAATATATGCAGATCGTATGACTGCCTATTTTTATTTTTAAAATAACACAATTAACATGGAAAGGTTTTGCTGGAAGAAATCTCTTATTAGAGATAAGCTCGCCTTTGTACATTATGTTTTAAATGAATTGTGATTAACAGTATGTTTTGTGTACAATAAAGAATAAAGAATAAAGAAAGAAACTTGCTTCTTTTTGTACGTTCTATCACTTATATAACTAGTTGTTTTAGAGGAAATATTTGAATTAACTTTTTTGACCTTCTTTTCACCAATGACGGAGAATTCATCTGCAGAATATATGCTTAGTTTGGTAAGAGATGGTACTGTGCTATGTTTTTATTTCGATCTATATTTAGCTATCTTAGACCCCAGGTGAAGAGTACCGATGGAAAACTAACATAAGTAAAATAGCATAATCTATCCATGGGGTTATTATTTTCTACCAGGTAGAGTTTCGTCGTTCCAACAAATTTAGAAATCTTAAAAAAATTTAGAGGGTCCTTTTAAAATAAATATAAATAAATATTCAAACCAATGTTCTCATTCAGCAATACTTTAATAAATACATTTACTGATTAAATCTATTTATACATCAAATACAGTAAAGGCAGTGATTTACAACTTATGTATATTCATGTAAAATTCACTCATTCACATATGTATTATTATTATAATTTTTAATTACAAATAAACATAACCATAAATATACAATTGTAAAATATCGATATGAAATTCTTTACAATCACAGAAATAACAATTGTAATTAATATTTTTCAATAAAGATAAGATTTTTTTAATAATTTAGCCAAATATAAAAAAACTAGATAGTATTTTACATTTGTCATTATAATGCTCGAAAGGATTCCATTGCTGTTTTTAGTTACCTTTTGTTATTTTATTACACTTTAACTGTGAACTTTAACGTGCAAAAATTTATATCCAACCCAACATTTGGAAATTTGATTCATAAAAATTCAACACACTTTTTCAACATTCAAAATGTGTTATTGTTAAATACGTAAGCCCGTTTTGTTCCAAGTATCGGATATTGAACGTGAGTGAAATTTTAAAAGTAATATCACTTATACTAGCTTAGTAAATGTTTAAGTATATACTATATTATACAAAGGCAAGTGTACAATGTTTAATTTAAATATTATTCAATACTTATGTTAAATTAGTTACTATTATAACGTATTTATCGTTGTTCACACTTCACTTATTAATAATTCACAACATTATTAATAGATCGATTGTTTTTCTCTGTTATTATTTATATAAATACAATTTTATATTTTTATGATGTTTATGATAATATATCTAAATTGGCAGAAGATAATTATGAAATATAAATTTAAGTGTTTTTATTTAAAAAATTAAGTCAAAACTATTATATGATGATAAATTTATAACATTTAATATAATTGTTGCATATAGATTAAATTGTAAAAATATAAAGTGATTAATTTGTCTTTTGAAATGACAATTTTATAAATTTCTTTATTTTTTTAAATAATATAACTTATAAATACGTAATTATTGAATACATTATTTGTGATACATGTCTTGCACTTGAAACATTGTATATATTTGTAAAACAATAATGTTTTCGCGTTGCTTATTTGTTTGAACATCAAACTAATTGTAACCCATACAAATAATATAATACATTTATGTTTCATAACTCGTCAATAAATAATTTTAAGATTCTTTATTTCCCTGTATTTCTTACAGTTATTGCATAGATATTTCTTCGATGTTATAAACACAGGACATAATTATAAGAAAATATTTTTTTTTTATACAAATTTCAGCAACTGAAAGTTCATATAAAAATAAGTTAATATTCATAAAAACTATAAAATGTCGAATAATATGTTTCAACTAATAGTGTTCACGTCATATTTTATCACATTAAAATTTGAGCTAGAGTAAAAGAGACAAAACACTACAATGCTAAAATACATATCTTTAAAGTTTTTATGAATAATAATGTGTGTGTATTTGTTTCTGGATATTGTAATTTCATAATAAAAATATTTATTTATTATTATTTCGTTAAAATATCACTATCATTAAATCTAATACTGGCATAGGCTGTTATTGTATTCATCAAAATTTACCACCAATATCCGTGATGTCCATATCCACCATACGGCCAGTATCCGTACCCGCCGTATCCACCATATCCACCGTAGGGCCATCCCCAGTAGCTACCGTAGTAAGGGTATCCCCATCCACCACCCCAGTGGCCACCCCATCCACCCCAATGTCCGCCCCAGTGTCCACCCCAATGCGAGGCAGCTGTTTTAAGATCCTCTTTCTCGGGTGCTTCAAGATTTTCCTTTTGGACTTCTACTTCTTCATTTGCAGCCGGCGCTGCTAATGTTACTGCTAGAAGTAAGAAAGCAGCAGCGAAGAAGATGATCTGGAAATATTAATTGTTATCATACACCACAGAAAATTAGAATACACGTCTCCAAAAATTATATCCCATATGTTAAGTTAGAAGTTAATCTACCCATGTACTAAATTTTCTTAAAATCTGTTCAGCCATATAGGCATACTTGAGTGTGTTCACACATGCAGTTATCAAAACATCTAAACATTTAAATATCTTTATAAGCTTTCATATATAGCTGATTCGGCAGTGTAATGTTGCCCTATAAAAATATTAATTTAATTAATTGGTAACTAATGGGATAAAATTATTGAATCGATTTAGATAAAATTTCTATAAAATAATCTTTTCAGATAAAAAAAGAGACTTTTACAAATCAACTCACAGGGAGAAGGGATTTTTAGTAATAGGGAGATTAGACCCCATTGCTATCAATATACTCTATAAGGTCGACCTCCTCGAAGTCGATTGCTTGGGTACCTCTGTCCCATCTGTGTTTCAACCGTGAAGCAGTTGTGTTTGCATGGCTGTGTTTCGGTTTGAAGGGTGGGATATGGCGTGAATTTACTGGGTACAGAGGAATAACACCTGAGTCCTCAGGAATGGCAACGCATGGAGGGTATCATGGACGAAACTGTATACTTTGTTATGTCCATGGTACTGCTTATGTTTATAGGCGACGGTTACCACTTTCCATCAGGTGGGCCGTCAGCTTGTTTGCCATTCTAAGTTGTATAAAAAAAACGTAAAATAAGAGACACTTTGTGTGTGGCTTACGCATAAATATAACAGGCATTGCATGCCACGCTCCACACACTTTTCCCAGTGTTTCACACGAAACGTGATTACAGTAATTACACGAGAGATACAATGACACCGCACCGGGCCGATTGATATTGTTTATTGGTACATAAATGCGTTTTTAATTCAATAAGATTTTTTGGTACACAGGATAATTTGTGTTTTAAAATTGTTTTACTTTTTATAACAGATTTTTGAGATTAGTTAAAATATGTGAGAATTAATTTATTAATAAAAATAAAATATTAACAAAAATATAATAAATATTTAAAATAAAATGTGGTTTTTAAACAAAATAATAATATGTTTTTAAAGCTTAGAAATTAGTTTCTAAATTTAACTACTATTTGCCATTATAAAAAAAAGATATTTTAATACTTCTAAATTCCAAATATATACATAATAATATATAATTTAATATATATTATTCTTAAAATATTTAAGTATATAAAACTTATATTATAGAATTTTTTAAATAAGATTTCCATATTAATGTCAATTCGCAGTTAGCAAATTTTCAAGCATCTAATCTTGAATGAATTTTTGAATTTAGAATTTTTTCAAATTTAGAAATTTTTGAATTATTATTAATATAAATCACTAATTTTGTTATTTTATAAAACCCTATCAACTAACACTATTTTGAAAGATTCTATCAATTAACACTATCTTAGATAATTAGCGAATTATCCCCTATACCCAAATTATAAATGGTACTTACTTTTCTGGACGTCATTTTGCGTTGTGCTCGTGTCCACACTGCCTGTGGCGTCAACACGCCACAGTTATATATGAGTGGCTTGTCCTAGAGTTGCATGGATGAGTGGCTGGCTTCCTTCACCATTGTCATGATGTGCCATTGACCTCATAGGATTAGGTCGGGAGCGATATGGGTTTTTAATGGGGTGTACGGATATTACTGAAATTATATGTTGGTTTAAGAAGTTAATTATACCGTTTATAATAAATATTAAAAAAAAGTTAATATTTATTTGTAAAAATTAATATTTTACTTTTAGATACATTATTAATAAATAAATAAATTATTTCTATTGAAATAATTAGATTGTGATTATTCAAACAATTTTAAACAATTAGAATAATTCAACTAATTGTTTAAAATTGTTTCAATAATCACAAGAATTATATTCTTCAAGTCTTTGAATTGACAGACAAGCATACGGCCCATCTGATGATACTTGCAATACACTTTGCCAATTGTATATAAAAACCTTTAAAAGAATCCTTATGCAGTTGTTTCTTATAAAGGTTATCGCAGTAGATACATTACATTAAAGAAATCAAAGTACGAATAATAAATATTGACATTACACTTAAAACCATTACCCTCCAATTTTCCGCGGTCGAGTAAAAACTATTACTATAATCAATTTTTTTTTATACCACTTGATTTTTTTATACCACTTTAAATCAAATTTATATTAAAATCCATTCGTTTCCAAACAATAACTATTGGGAATGCCAACGGATCATTGTGGCAAATTGAGATACAAGTAATTATCATAAATCAATTATGTATTAATTTTCCACTCAACTGATCGACGAGTCCAACGAGACGCAGTGAGTGTACTGGACAGTGGCAATAAAGTTCTAGATGAAATGATATTGTAAATTGTAAATTTTTAATGAAAAGTTTCGCGACTGACTCTTGGCCACAGCAGAATATCAGTGTTTTGCTCTTTTAAGGGCAAAGCAATAAACTGAGCTGTGACCATTTTGTGTTACTATGACACACGCATGAAGGAACGGTAACAAAGGAGATTGTTAGATTATGTATTTTGTTTTTGTATTTTTTTTTATTTGTGTTTTTTTTTATTTTTATTCTTTTGTCTCTTTTGCTGTGTATTACGTGTATGTTTTTTTTTTTATTGTAATTTGTGTGCTGTAAGTAATGTAAATAAATTGTCTATCTATCTATCTATGAATGTATTTTTAAATCAAATTTCACAAAAGTATCCTACACTTGTATAGCTATGTTTCGGTTTGATGCGTGGGATCTTCATCCGCCTTACTGTACTTATACAATTGTATCTTTATTATTTTTTTTATACAACACAGGTGGCAAACGAGCATGCGGCTCACCTGATGGTAAGTAACTACCGCCGCCCATGATCATCCACAACACCAGCGGCATTGCAGGTGTGCTGCCGGCCTGTTTTGCTTATTACCTATATTGTATAATGCAAATAAAGTATGCTCATTCAATCATTCTTTCATCATCAGCTATTAGATTAGATCAGATATTAGCATTATCACATCAGCTATTCCTGTCCACTGCTGAACAATGGCTTTTCCCATGTTTGCTAGTATTTTCGTAGTTTAGTATTTTACCAGAGAGAGACTTTGTACAAAAGTCGATTGCTTGGGTACCTCTGTTCTATTCGTGTTTCAACCGTGAAGCAGTTGTGTTTGCATGGCTGTGTTTCGGTTTGAAGGGTGGGATATGGCGTGAATTTACAGGGTACAGAGGAATAACATCTGAGTTCTCAGGAATGGCAACGCATGGGGGGTATCATGGGCGAAACGGTATACTCTGTTAAGTCCATGGTACTGCTCATGTCTATAGGCGATAGTTATCACTTTCCATCCGGTGGGGAAAAAAAATTTGCCACACTTGGTACATGAATAGGCAACCACAGGTTCTGGTGATGTTTAAAAAATGACGCTGCTGCTCATACCCTCGACCCTTAAGTTCCTTTAGATGGGTGGGATTTGACAGTGAAATTATAGGGTACAGAAGTATAACTCTAAAGTCCGGGATGAGAAGGAATTTTAGTAATCAAGGCTAGCTTCATTACTAGTAACAGTATCCTATCATGTCAAAGAGCATTCGATTCCTAGAAAGCATCGTGGTTAATTCTGCCTTCTTATTCTCCTATCATCACGAACTACTGCCCTTCCAACAGCGTAGCATATTGAGGCGGTGGAAATAATAATATTATTTATATGAAACAGTAAATTATAAAATTGCTTAACAGGGGGGAAAGGGATTGTTAGTAATGGAGACTGAGAATCTCATTGCTAGCAATATACCCAACCCGGTCGACCTCCTCGCGGTTCCGCCTGGAAACTATCATGGTTAATTCCTGATGAATTCATCATGATGGGCTAACTGGCCTGTTTTCATTTCTCACCTTTCACTGGTGCTCCGCCAGCGTATCCCGTTAGCGCAGGCGGGGTTACCATACCATTTTCAATTGAATTAAAGTTAAATTAAATTAATTTTAAAAGGCCGGCAGCACACCTGCAATGCCTTTGGCTAATATATCTAATTTGGTTTTACGTAGGTACGTAAAATTCGTTTTGACGTAGATATCTAGGTATGAATGAATGAATTAATGAATAAATTAATATATATTATTATATATACGCATTTTAACATTGCGTCAACTGCGATAAACATCTAATTATTATATTAGGACAGAACCTCAGTAACGAAGTACTCCTAGTACAGCAAAAAAGTCCGAAGGGAAATTAAATTACACGCCAAACTAGCATATCTTTAAGGCAATTATTTTTTTTTCCTACATTTAGTTCGTTTAAAGAAAAACGCTGAGTCACCTGTACACTGTTTACGCTCAGTATTTTTACTATAACTACGTTTGTTTACTATTAAACAGTATAAAAATATCTATTTATATAACTACTTGTTGTATCCCGCGGCTTTGCTCGCGTGAATAATTATATAAAGAAAAATACATTAAATAATGATTCACGCTTTTCATAAAATATTACTATTTTTTTTGTATTTTTATGTTTTTAGTATATTTTAAGTTAAGATATAATCTATGTGTACGCCAAATTTAATTCAAATTCGTTTAGTCCTATTAAAGCAGTTGTGTTTGCATGGCTGTGTTTCGGTTTGAAGGGTGGGATGTGGCGTGAATTTACAGGGTACAGAGGAATAACACCTGAGTCCTCAGGAATGGCAACGCAAGGGGGGTATCATGGGCGAAACATTATACTCCGTTATGTCCATGGCACTGCTCATGTCTATAGACGACGGTTACCACATTCCATCAGGTGGGCCGTTAACTTGTTTGCACTTTCTAAGTTGTATAAAAAAACTATGTAATGCCCTACCGCAATCGGGTTCTTTATTTCTTATAATCAGAATAAAATTATTCTTTCTTGCAAGTTAGAACAAATATTGTACATTTATAAAATTCCATTATAATGGGTTGAGCAATTTCGGAGATTAGCTTAAAAGAACCTTGTGACATAGAATTGTTGTAAATTGAGAATCGAGGAAAGAGAAGGAATAAAAGAAGAGACGTTACAATTCTTCTCTAATCTTTATCATCTGCTTATCTTCATATTGGCTACCTTCCACCTGGCATACACGTCACTTCCGGAAACTCTTCCCTCATTAGAAGCTAGTGTAATTTTCTTCTAATTTATAAAAATGAAAGCTCAAGAAAAGTATGGATATTTGTTATTCAATAAAACTTGAACAACTGAACCCGTTTGAATGAAATCACACAAATCTTAGATTAATTTGTGCGGACAAAGCCGCGTGTGGAAGTTAGCCAGTAATAAGTTAATGACATCCCAAACAACAATAAGTCTAACACTGTTGTCGTGCGTTTAATGTTTATTGTGATAGTGCATAATCAGTGTGAAGTAGGCTTCTAAATTAACCCTTATGGTTTGTAACCGTTAGGAGCGGGTTACAATGTTCGAGCGTTAGCGGAGAGACGAAAGAACGTTGTTAAATAAAAAAAAAATAACTGAGTTTTTATTACGTACACCACGATTTTTTTATACAACTTGGAATAGCAAACGAGCTGACCGCCCGCCTGATGGAAAGTGGTAACCGTCGCCTATAGACATGATCAGTATCATGGACATAACAGAGTATACTGTTTCGCCCATGATACCCCCCATGCGTTGCCACACTACACACACACACTAGCTATATTTAATGGTTTTGCTCGCACGAATCAGCATATAAAGCATCCTATATGTTAAGCTAGGGTATGACCTATCCTCACACACATTGTATTAATATATGTATATAAATGTGAGACTTTGTAAAGATGCTTAGATAATTGTACGTTTGTTACTAAATCACACAAAAAAGAATGAATGGATTTGAATAAAATTTGGTACTTGAGTCGATTACATCCTTGTTTAATTTCTAATATATAGAATATTTTATATATTGATAAACGTGGGCAAACCTGCGAATAATAGCTAGTTTGTATATTAACTGAATAATTAAATCGCTATTATGAAAACATTGATTAATGTAAAGGAAATGTAAAATGATCTGTTTGAACAGAAGCATGTGGAGTTCTATTGTTTCCGCCTACAGGGTTTATGGGAGACAGGCGTGACAGATATCGTCATAGTTGTAGAATACTGACGGATCTGACAAAGATTACATATAAAGATCCTTCAGTATTCTACGACTATGACGATATGTGTGTATGTATTAAAATCGCTATCGCGCCGCTCATCAACATGCCCGCTAGCTGTACCGAGGGACCGGACACCGGACACAATTGCCGGTGTCAACCTCAAGCACAGTTTACGTCCTTCCTTCCGGAATTCCGAGGCCGCGGCGATTACGTGTCATTGAAAATGGTTTAACTATTGTATAATTTGTCGAACAATTCATTTATATACCGACCGTTGTCAGGGTGACGTTAAGAACAAGAAGTATAGCAGAATCGTCATTGTATCTTCTATAACTATTGGGTACGGAATTTTATCTGTGTTACAATTCAGTCGTCATACTCGTGAACGAGTGTTACATTTTTGCTCTTGTTTAGGTAATACTAATTGACGTATAAATATTATAAATGCAAAAATTCATAAGGATGGATGTTTTTTATTTTCTCAATGAAATGTAGCACAGAGATTAAATTAACTTACATACTTGTAGATTGCTTTATATACAGATAGCCGC